CATGAGAAGACAGAAGAGGGCATCAAATAAAGATAACAGTGATGAGTAACACACAGTATGAGTAAAACACAATAGTATAAAACTTCTTTAACACTTAACAAAAATATTAAATAAGTGTTATTACTACACTATTAGAAGTATTTGTTTTGATGTTTGCTCACGTAGCAACCTCTCCCACAAACTGCAGATATGCATTAATGCAGGATTTGCATTACAACTGCAGCAGGTGGACTGATGGCCCAGAAAGGTCACATAGTTTCAGTCACCAGCTAAAGATGTTTACCCTATCTGAAAGACTCAACCAGAACTAGAGCACAGCTTCTGTGCATGTGAAACTTCACTCAGGATCTGAAGGGCCTGACCAAGAGAAGTGATGTGCCATCATCAATAATACTAGTGACTACATACACATTCAGATACCTTTGACTATTCAGACAAAATGTACATGGACAACTCATATTTCTGCTCCTCAGTTTTCCACAAAGATCCATAGAATGCTTTGGGACCTTATATATCACCCGGTTCCAATCCCCTGTCATGGGCAGGGTTACCCCTCACTAGACTGGGTTGTCCAAAGCCCCATTCAAGCCTTAAGCACTCAATATGGATGATGCATCCGCAGCTTTTCCAGGCCATCTGTTCCATTGCCCCACCACTTTCTGAGTTAAAAGTTTCTTTTCAATGTCTAATCTAAATCTACTGTACAAAATATTCCTTTCTTCTGTCATTCTCAGACAAAGAGTCTTTCTGCAGCTTTCCTGTAAGTCCCCTTTAGGTACTGGAAGGCCTCTGTACTGCCTCTGCAGATTCCTCTCTTCTCCAAGCTGAACAAGCTCAACTCCCTTAACCATTCTTCACAAAGATGTGCTCCTGCCCTCTGATCACCTTTGTGGTCTCCTCTGGACCTGCTTCAACAGCTCTATATTCTTTCTTGTGCTGGGGGCCCTAGATTTGGATGAAGTAGTTCAGATGGGGCCACACAAGGACAGAGCAGAGAACAATCACATCTGTCTTTTGATGTAGCCCAAGATACAATCGGCCTTCTTGGCTGCATTTCCCATTGTAGGCTCATGATGAGTTTCTCATCAACCAGCACCCTAAGTTCTTCTCACATCTGCTCTCAATCCATTCTCTGCCCAGCCTGTACTTGTGCTTAGCATTGCCCCAACCTATGATCAGGACCCTGCACTTGGTCTTGTTGAACTTCACGAAGTTAAAACACATAAGCACTTGCTCTGAACAATTTTCTCTCCTATTTTTATTTTGTTGAAGTGAATGCTAATAAGGTTATACATTTATCACAGAATTAGAACAGGCATATTTAAGAACACTCAATTCTAAAATACACATTCAAAAATGTTGAAGCATGTGCAAATTCAGAATATGAATAAACTTCAGCATTCCTTATAGAATAAACTGCATTCCTTCTACAAATTTTTTTTTTCTCACAACCTAACACAGTAGGAAGGGCAACTGACAGAGAGTAACCAAACATCAATATGCACAAGATACACAGATACATAGCTACATACCTTGAAGGGAGCTCCGTAGATTGAATCTCCACCTGAGCCGGTACCAGTGGGATCACCTCCCTGCACTATAAAACCCGGCACTACTCTGTGAAATATTGTATTATTGTAATACTCTAAAAAAGAAAAAGAAAATATATTAAACATACTTAAGCTATCTAAAGATCACACTTCCAGAGAGATTATGCAGACATACCAGTTACTGGAGTTCTACAAAACAAAACCTACAACAGTATTCTGCCATTTCCACCAAGCTGCCTGATCATATATTGACTTGCTCAGCATGACTGTACCTTACCTAATCTACAAAGCATTACTGATGATATTTATGAAAAAAAAAAAAAAGAGGAGTCTTAAGTTTCTGCCACAGAAGATACTGCATACCACTGACAAAACTGTATTAATGAGTAATTTTATTTTCAGGACTACCAATGATAGTACCAGTATATATCACTTTAAAAGGAGAGTTAAATCTACTACGTCCTGTCCCAGCCAGTACCTCACATACACACTTGTTTATATCCATGCACCAAATGGTTATCGCTTCCACTCAATGGCACAGAACACAGGTGTTGTCCCTTTCCCCTACACTGTACTGTCTTTTGCTCCCCAGGTTATCTTGTTACTGTTCTCTATACACACACACATATACTTCAGATAAGCATTACGACACTGTAAGAAAACATAAGTATGAAAAGTTCAACTCAACACATATTTACTTTATTTTTTCCTTTTTTCAATCTGCATTATGCTGTAAGACAAAGCAGGACCTGACAGTGTTGCAGCATAGCTCTGTATGTTCAAGGATAGTTATATTATACAGTACTCACTAGAGAAATACTAAAGCATACAATACAAAGCATAGGATCCAACAGAGTAGCCATGCAAGTTCAGAAAGGAAATATGGCATAGTTTTTTAAAACCGAGGATAACTTAAGGTAATTCCCTGGGCTGAGAAGCTGACTTAATGTTAAAAAAATATTTTTGAAAATCCACATCTTCACATAATCAGTAAGAGCACAGAGTAGACCTTATATATGACTGGGATACACAAATTCCACACTGCTATTTTTCCTTATCAGAGAGCTAAAAGGACTCTCACCAGATCTTATTAATGGTATATAAGTAGGAGTAGGAAGCATAAATTGAGAGGGTCTTTTGCACATTTTTTGTATAGTTTTCCCAATATGGAACTTCTCATTTAGGTACATTATTTCAGCAAAAGGCTTTACAGGGTTCTAGTCAATAAAACACCACAGCAAATGAAACATTAAAAGCACTCATGAAGAAATGAACAGGGAGTAACAACAGTGAAGCAGGAATGAACAGGGGATGTCCAAGCATTGCATCACTGACATTTCCTATGTGCATTAAAGCTGCTATACTTTGTAGAGACTTCCTGAAAATAGGCCTTCCTAAACATCTGACACCAACTACTACATTCAAGAAAACCACCTAAAAATTGTTGCTCTTTTTCCTTCCATTGGGATCCTTAATGACCTTGAAAAATGTTTTTGATCTGGGTAGCAAGTAATAAAAATAATTAGTTAACATATTAAAACTTACTTAAGACTTATCTTTTCCAAAACTGTCATCAAAATACCAATAGTACACATTAAATAATTCTAACAAATCCTACCCCATCTTGTCCTTACCTTCCATACAAAGCTGGATGAAATTTCGACATGCTTTTGGTGCTTCTTTAGACCACAATTCTATATCAATATCTCCTGCTGTAGTTCTCAGCAAAACCTACAAAATTTTTATAAACATACCATTAGTTTTATTGCAACTTAGACACTAATAAACAAATATTACTACTGAGTTAAAAGGCACAGTTAACTTCATAACATTAACAACAGTAGTAGATAAGTAGTAAGCAGTTAAGGCTGGTGATGAGTAGCGTCCCCCAGAGGTCCAACCTAATCACCTTTATCGCTGACATACACAGTGAGCTTGAGTACACCCTCAAGTTTGCTGATGACACCAAGATGAGTAGTGTAGTTGATATGAAAGAAGGAAGGAATGTCGTTCAGAGGGCCCTGGACAGGCTTGAAAAGTGGGGCCCATGTGAGGTTCAACTAGGCCAAGTGCAAGGTGCTGTATGTGAGTTGGGGCATTCCCAGATAAACGTACAGACTGGGAGAAAAACTCCTTGAAGGCAGCCCTACTGCAAAGAATTTAGGGGTTCTGTGTGTGAACATCTGGGAATGTTCACATTTCATCTGGGTATGGATGAAAAGCTGGACATCAGCCAGCAGTGTGCAAACCCTAAGTCCAAGTGTATTCTGGGCTGTGTCAGCACAGGAGCAGCCAGCAGGGAAAGAGGGGATTGTACCCCTCTGTTCTGCCCTCTTGAAGCCCCACCTGGAGTACTGTGTCCAGACCTGGGGCTCCCAACAAGATAAAGATGTGGAGTTGTTGGAGCAGGTCCAGAGGAGGGCCATGAAAATGATCAGAAGGCTGCAGCACCTCTCCTGCAAAGAAAGGTTGAAGTAACCGATCTTGTTCAGGCTGGAAAAGAGAAGGCTCCTGGGAGACCTTACTGTAGCCTTCTAGTACTTGAAGTACGGATATAAACAAGAAGGAAACCAACTTTTATGTGAGTAGTCAGTGACAGGACAAGGGCAGATCGTTTTAAATTGAAAGAGAGCAGATTTAGGCTGCATGTATGGGGAAAATTCTTTACTCAGAAGGTGGAGAGTCACTGTCCACAGAAGCTGTGGTGCTCCATCCATGGAGGTGTCAAGGTCAGGTTGGATGGGGCAATGAGCAGCTGAGCTGGAGGGAGGATGGAGCAGCCCTTCCCATGGCTGGAGATTGGAACTGGGTGACCTTTGATCCAAACCATTCTGTGATTCTATGATATCCCAATGTAGTTTTGCAGCACTTAAGATATAGTTCTGAAGTAACTCACATGAAAAGACTACTGATAACACAGTAACTACCAGAGGGCAGAATATTAAACACTCTTTAATATTTCCACAATGAGACAACGCAGAAAAAGAATATGCCTTAAATCTCCAGTGGCACGCTCTATTTATTACAGGTAACACCACTAAAGACAATGCCAATTCATAACAAAGCGGTAAACATAACAAGCGGCCGAAAGCGACAAAATCAGCCGCCTGCCCCTCGCCCGCGCTGCCAGCAGCTCCCGCCCTCCCCTCCCTCGCAGCTCCTCCGAGGGCAGCGCGCGCACCGCCGCGCGGCAAGGCGAGCACGGCGCCGGCTGCCCGCAGGGAGCCTCACCTTGCCGTTGGTGGGGGGCTCCTGGATGTAGATGTTGCTCATACTGGGGAAGGGGTGTTGTGGCAGACCCACGCAGTCCCAGACCAATGCGCATCAACGCTTCTCCCCTACCCGCGCTACTGCCCGCAGTCCACCGCCATATTGGGCGCCTCTACACAGCACAGTGGAGCGGGGGAGGTGTGACTGCCCAGAACAGGGGAAAGGGGAAAGGAGAAAGGAGCGCTCCGCCGATCAGGGGCTGCACGGCGATCACGGAGTGAATTATTTCTGGAAGGACCTGAAGGCTTTTCCGGACCTCCGGTCCCTCCTCGTCTCCCCGGCTCGGTACTGAGGTCCCCCGTCCTCCCCGGGAGTGGCGCGGCCCGAGAGCTCCGGGCTAAGCCTTCCGGCGGGAAGAGGCGCCGCGGCGTTTCCGGGCCGGGCTGCGTGGAGGACGCTGCTCGCAATGGCTCTGCCGGGTGAGGAAGAGTCCCGAGGCTGTGGGGCGGCGTGCTGAGATGGGAGCGATGGGGTCAGCGGCACCGTTCGTGGGGAGGCGAGGCGCGAGGAGCGGCTGGCGGTGCGTTTGCCAGCCTGCGGAGCTGAAGTGCCGCCGCCATGGCCGAGTCAGCAGCTGAGCGGGGCTGTGGGCTCCAGCAGCCCTCCTGCGCTCAATACGCGGCCCTCGCCTGCAGTCTTGTGGGTGCGCGAGGGTACGGCTGGATCCTGCCGTCTGCAGGTGGTCACTGCCTTCCTTAAAGGTCCCGAGAATGGCATCGTCCCGCATGGTTTTTTCTCCTCGTGCCCCAGATTAACGCCTGTCTGCATCTAGGTTGTTTAAGTAAAGGCTTTAAGAGCGGAGGTGCAGTCAGCATGGGCAGCAATGGTCGTGTTACCCACGAGGTATTCAGCCTGTGTGATCCTGTGGTGTGAGGAGTATTTGGCTGGAGAAAATTGAGTAAAACTGAACCTTGCTATGAGTTAAACAACAACAACAAAAACTTAACAAAAACAATTCTTTAATAAAGCTGCTCTTGCTCTCATCTTAGGGGATAGTTTCTGAAGGAAGAGGTCTTATGTTTGTGTTCAAAGATTTGCAAAACCTCTTTTGCAATATTGTTGTCTGCTAAATGAGTGAGGCCCTTAGTTTTTTTTTTGGAGAACTGGCAGTTGGAAAAGAGGGGAAGTGGGTGGAGAGAAGGAAGCCTTTACTTGTTTGCTTTTAGTTGCCTGAAACTTAATCTATACTAAAACCCTGCTTCTAACATCATTATTTAAATCCCAAACAATAATAATTTATTATCATCTCAAGAATTTGATGGGTGTGGGGATGATAATCAAGATCGAAAAAACCTGTTGTTAGGTCATTACAGAGCCATTAACTTCTTCAGACACTATCATCAAGCCCTAGCAAGATTACATTCTCAGTTGGGATTCCTGATTTTGCTGCTATGTAAAATTTCTTTTATACACTTTTTTTCCATATTTTTCAGTCACACGCTTTTTGTGTCTTAATTGGTGCTCATTTCTCTGCTGTTTCCCTTAAAAACGTGTGTTTTCTTTACAGAAATCTACATCTCACAAGTTGCACCTGAATAGGTAGTCCATAGGTAGTCCAATGCCTTTCTTATCAAGTACTGGGTGATTATTGGAAAGCCTTGCACAAAGTGTTTGCACGTTTAGTAGATTCTGTAGTGTGTGCTTGCTTCCTTTCCATTGAGCACTGAGTCCTTCTGTACTGCATTGATTACATTGATAGAGATGGAGTTTATTGAGTATGTCAGAATGATGAAAGATGAAATCTTGCTTATGAGTCCAGATGTGAACTGAATCAGCAGATGCTGTTGAGTATTCTGTGATACGGCATTGCAAGATAGAGATGCATTTTTTTACTCTTTCCTTTACACTTTGTTTTATTTTTATGTTGCCTGTCCCCTTATTTCTCGTGGTTTTCTCATGGTTTAAAGATAGATACTTATGAAATAGACACATAATAACTGCAGAGTTTATAAACCACTGAGAAGATACGTAACACTGAGGTTTGGGATCTGCAGAAAACCATGGGATTTCAAGGCTCCTCTGTTTCTTTTAGTAGGATTTACTGAAGGTGATACTTCTCTCAGTAAATCAAAGTAAATCAAAGTTTGAACTCTTGAAGCTGATATACCCCATTTCCAGTTCTGTAATTTCATAGTTTTTTTCTTATGTTAGGTTAATTATTTAAATAAAGGAACTAGTTGTACAGAAAACTGTATACAACTGTTTAATTTTCCATATTTTTCATACTAGATAGAAAGACACTCTTTGATTTTGGAAATGCTGTTTTGCTTAGAATTATGAATTGACTCAGCTGACTTAAAAATTGCACTGATCCTTTGATGGGTAACAGGATCCACATTTTGTCTTCTGAGTTAGATCTTGATAATCTACTTAACTGGGGGCACAAGTAGGCATAGAAAGCGACTTTGCCAAAATTCAGAAGAGTGATCATTCTGGTCTGTCTACTGGTGTTACCAAGCCAGATTTAAAAGTAACACATAATTGATGAAATGTTCTGTTTCAGGTGCAAATAAGGATAACATCAGAGCAGGATGCAAGAAATGTGGCTACCGTAAGTCTATATAGTAAGCAATATGGTAGTGCAGTATTGGTTTTGGGTTTTGGTTTTTTGTTTTTTTTTTTTTTTTTTTCCCGTTTTGTAATGATGGGACTACTTTTGGGGGAGAAAAAGGGGAAAAAAAAAAGGATCTCCACCCTTGTGGCTGTTCTAGTCCCTCACTGCTCTCATTGTAAAAAACTTTCTCCATATATCCTTGAGTGTTTTTGAAGACCTGAGTTTCTTAGCCAAAAAAATCACCTGTATGCTGATGTATTCACATGTACTAAATTTGCTGTGCAATTGCTTGAGAAACCTTGAATTCCAAGCACTGTCTTGGACATCTGTTGTACTTGTGAGGTAAGCATTTGTGTTCTTTTTGAATCTCATTGCAAGCTTAAGCAGGGCTTTCTGCTCAAGGTATGTCCAGTGTGTTTTGAAAAAAAATAAAAATAAAATCTGCATGATCTTCTACACAAAGAAATTATCCTTTGTAAGATGTGCTTTGAGTTATGAAAGTCTGCCCTCCTCCTGAAGGCCCTATCAGGGGTTGATGCTGTGCAAGACCAGCCCTTTTCATCACAAGCTGCCTGATGCTGCTGTTACTTGCAAGAGCTAAATGCTGATTTACGGAACAGGTTTTTCATTATGTTGTGTTAGGGAAAGTACATCTGTGACCATTTTCCTGATGAATATAGACGTGTTCTAGTGAAAATATTAGTTTATTAATCACTCAGTCACATTTTTAGAACAGTGTAGAAGTGGACACTGCTCCATAGTGAACTGCAGTGAACTTTTAACACAGTGATTTAAGCTATATTTGTGTGTTTTATGTAGGATGAAGGAAAAAAGCTTTGTTCTTTCACTGCAGACTTTGCTTCCAACAAATTTTATCAATGAATTGCCTTATGTATCCAGTCTTTCAGAGAAATAGGGATATCAATATAGATTCAGTGGTTTATTTGTAGATGCAATGTCAGAGGCTTTCTGGAAGAGAAGGAAACTTAAGGTTAAATTGCACAGCCTACATTTTTTTTTTCTGTATTCAAGGTCTTTAATAGAGAGAAGCTGAGTTTGTTGCTACTTGAATTCTTTCACAGACCATATCTTCAATTTGCTTTATTTTTATTGTTATTCCAATAGGAATATTCAACTTCAAGGCGTCTAACTCATGGTAGTGATTATAACAATCAAACTTAGAGAAGTAAAAATACTAGTCCTGTGTTAGTGGGGATTAGTATTATGTACAGATTATTAAAAATGATTTATATTTCATAAGGAAATAGTGTTCTTCTATTTCACTGAAGAGAGATGGAAAAAGCAGTATACAGAAGAACTTGCTATAGTTTTCCAAATATTTCTCTTCATGCTTTTAAGTTGTTATTTTAAGTAGTTTCTTCTGAAAGGATATGAGACTATTAAAGAAATATTAAGTATTTCTTTAATAGGAAATATGAAGAAGAAGAATATAAAATATTAAAGAAATAGAAAATCTTTAACAAAAATATGCACCATTAGAATACCGTTGCACAGCCTCTCAAGGAGAAATTTGCAGTTTGTTCTCCTTCTTCATTCATTGATTGTAGTCTATCCTAGCTTTCTTTCTCTTATTAAAATGGAATAATACTCTTAGCTTTTGATAATATTTGCTAGTTTTTAACGTGCTTCTAAATTTTTGTTTTCTTTAGCTGGTCATTTGACATTTGAATGCCGAAACTTTCTTCGAGTGGATCCTCAAAGAGATATTGTTTTAGATGTTAGCAGCACAAGCAGTGAAGATAGCGAGGAAGAGGAGTTACAGAGACTGCAAGCCCTGCGTGAAAAGAAAAGTAAGTTAGATCTTCTAAAAAAAAAATTCAGTTAGCTATTTATTTTAGTAGTAAGTTGGACAATGGTCTTCTGATGTGCTGGACCTGTCATTTCATTCTTTCCTATAAATAGGACTTGTCTCTACCGTAAACAGTACATCTTTTACGTCAAATATTCAGACTTAAGATATTTGATACGTTCATGCATTTTTTTATTGATTCCTTTCATTGGAAATTAACAGTTTACGCATTTAGAACATCTCAAAAAGGTCTTATTGCAAAAGACTATAAAACTATTAATAAGCAGCTACTTTGAAGAAAATGAAATTGATATTCTGAGTTGATTCTGTGATTATGTGTATTTTAAATATCTTAAAGTCAACAGCAACTCTTAAAACCAATGACAAATATGGCAGTTGAGTTCTTTTCAAATTTCTATATAGTAGCTTTCCAATTGAATTTCAACATTAATACTTGGAGAAACACTTACCTCTGTGAAATTTGAGAATCGTGCCATCAGAAGGAAGGTAGATGTGTTAGTTACTTAACAGTTATGTGGATTCATTTCAATTTGGACTCTGAAAAGGCTGTTCCCCTAAAAAAAATGGGAAGGTTGTTCTACTGTGTTAAATTGTCAAAATTCTCTCAAGGGTATATGACCAGTTTTGTGGTTCAACCTGACGGACAGCTAAGCACCACCAGTGAGCTGTTTGCTCAATCCACTCAAATCTCCCTTCCAATGGAAAAGAGAGAGAATTGAGGGTGAAGAGAGGATGGAAGTAGAGCACTAGGTTCATATAAAAACTATTTACTGAGACAGAAAAAGAAGAGAAGTATTACTAATGATTATCTATCTATCTATTACATATTTTCAAAAGAAGTGATGCACAACACAATTGTTCACCACCCACTGGCTGGTGGTCAGCACCTCCCCAAGAGGCAGCTGTGCCCCCCTCTTCCCCCATAGACAGCTCTCCCCAGTTTTATAGATCCACATGCCAAATGGTATGGAATATGCCTTGTTGGACATTGGGCCAGTTTAGGTCAACTATCCTGATTTTGCCCCATCTCAGCTATCTGTTTTAAGGATAAGTTCTAGAACCAGCATTTTCCTGTATGTAGCCTATGCTTTAGATGATACTATAATATACATCTATCTGATTTGCATTTCAGAAAATTCAAAAATAGTTGATGAGGTTATTTAGAAAGGACCGTGGTCATACATTTCATCCAGTAAGACACAAAAATTGCTTGTAAGTGAAATTTGAGAATACCTCATATCACTGAACAGAGGTAAGGCAGGCAAGCAATGAACATGACTGTTCTATAGAAGCTGCAGTAAATTACAGTTATTTGAGCATTCCTGTAGCAGTTACTATTACCGTTACTGCGCACTGTTAATGAGAATTGGTAACAAAACTAGGATTTAAGTTTTGTTCATTCTCTTTATATTTAATATTAAGGATCTTGTCTAACAGCTGTACCATGTTTTGTTACGTTGAACGAGTCATAGATTAGTATGGACAAAATCTGTGGGTTTTAGATTTTAATGTACACCCACCTTCCTTCTGAAGGCCTGCAGATATCCTGAGTTAAGAGTTCTCACAGATAAAATGGTGACCTTTCTTATGCATCTTTGTTTTCATTGTAGTAACAATACAAACAGTTGTAGGTTTCAGTCTTCAGCATGGTGGACTAAAAATGCATGACAGTTCTTTCTGTCACTGTTTATTGTTTTTTGCATTGCCTGAATGTTACCTGATTCTTCATTTGGTAGGACCAGGGTCTTAATTTCTCTTTCCAGCTATCTCTTAATTCAATAATTCTGTCCTACATTTAGTTTTTTAAGCAACCACATAGGCGAAACAGGGAAAGGTCAAGTTAAGAATGACTTGTCTACCAATTTTTGTAGATGCTACCTTCACAGTTAATTCAAATTTATCTTAGCTGAAGTGTGGATTAAGGCTATTTGAAACTAGTGCAGGTAAATTATTCTTTTTTTTTTTTTTTTTTTAATCTTTTAGTTACGTGCCCTGGTTTCAGACTTGTGCGAGTCTTTTAAAATGTAGAAGCAAAGCTATGCTACGTTTTACAGGACTTCCTCATTCCTGATCTTCAGATAAATTACAGAAGTTGTATATTGAGTTCTGCTATTCTGCAAAATATTTCTGAAATTAATGCATAGTAGTCTGGGGTTTGGAGAAGGGAAAAATAATTTTACAGTAATTTTACAATGCTATTGAAGCCGTTCTTTTAATGCTCTTCTTAGTTCAGATGTTGTTGGAAGTGTGTTGTAAATTATATATATATTTTTTGCCCATAGATTTAAATGAGGAGGAAGAAAAAAAGAAACAAAAAAGAAAAAGTAAAGAAAAAACAAAACTAAAGAGACCAAGGAAAAGGTAACTCTTTCACAGACTTATTTTAATTGCAAAACAAATTCAGAAGTACTCTGGTTTTTGGGTTGATTTCAGAAAATATTGTTTCTTTGAATCCAATTGGTTTTGTGTATACTATATTTGGAAAAAGCTTACTATCTTCCAGTGAAGTTTTGTTTGTCCATTAAGTAATGATGAAGCCATAGGCTTTGAAGTTAGGACCATGGAGATCTTGAAAGCCAGCATGACAGACGTTTTGCAGGTCTGAGAAGGCAATGTTCCCTCTGACTACCCAACAGCAGGCAAGGTGTGGTAGGAAAAGGGGAATAAGATGTCAAGAGGATTTTGGGGTTGGTCCTCAGCTGGGCTCATATGGAGAAAACACTGTGGAGTTCAGAAGACCCTAGGCTTCCCTGAATGGTCATGTGTGTGCATGTATACAATACCCTTTCTGAGTAGCATTACTATCAAAGGGAAAACTTCTGCACTTTTATTTAGCATGTGTTGACTTTTAATGTTTCTGTTGCTGTAGAAGCCTAAAAAAGACTTGCTCTGGTTCCAAAGAAAAGTTCATGATGTCCAAATTTATTGTGAATCCAAGTTTTGACCTGCTGACTGAGTTTTAGAAGAGTCTACTCCATCATTACAATTGTTGATGAGATGTCCTTTCCGGAACTGCACTGAGAGCTGGGGAATATATAAGGGCCAGAATAAGATGTTCTTCAGAAATAAAGTATAGGAAAAGGACTGAACACTGATTGTATTGGTATTTTTCCTTCTTCCTTACTTACACAGCATAGTTGTTAACCTACACCTTAAAAAGAGTACAGAAGAGTTAGTCTGCTAATAGTAGTCTTTAGGTGCAATCTATTGTGAAAACGGTAGGACAGAACAGCCCTCTTGAGGACGATCATGAGGATTATTATTCTCAGCTTAAATATTCTATGCACGTAGTAATTTCCTTCATCACTGCTGATCAGAGACAAATAATAACAGCTTCAGAGGCATCCAGATTTGCCCTACTAGTTTATCATAAATTTTTGCATGTGTGAAGTATATGTTTAGACAAATCCTCATTTGATACTTTAAAAGCTAAATAGCTTAATAGCTGAAAGGTATTTTACTGTCAGACTTTAGCTCAGATTTTGTGAGGTCTGTATGCTTAGACTTTTTTCTTACTAAAGGTTGAAAAACACAAAGCATACTTGTTCCGTTGTTAATTAATCTGCATTATAAACATACTGCTTTTCTAGCATGGTAGGCAAATAGAAAAATTGTTACTTAATTGAACTTGAAATTGAGATTGTACGAGCTTTCCAAAGGATGCTGCTGTATAAGTTCTTCAACAATTTGATTTCAACATTATATAAATGCTAAAATAATAAAATTATTCTTTTATTGTCCATGAATATGTATTTTTACTAGATCTTCCTCATCAAGTGCTGCTGAAGAGGTCAGACCAAAGTCGAAAAAACAAAAATCACATAAAAAGGAAAGGAAAAAGGAAAAGAAGAATAAATCTAAGAAAAGCAAACATCATAAAAAGGAAAAGAAGAAGAGACGAAAGGAAAAGAGTTCATCTTCAGATAGTTCAGACAGTTCTAGTAGTGACTAAGTTGCTGGCCTATTTTTGCTGTCATTTCTGCAGAGAATAGGATGGTTTTCCTTTCAGATCTTGCCTATTTGTGCTTTGCAGTTATGTTTATATTGATATATATATTTTTCAGGAAATCTACTTGCAAATATCAGTGCTTCAAATTATTAAATGGACCATTTGGAAACTCTAGTGGAAGGTCTGTGTGTCAAGATATTCGGACTTCATATGCTTAACATTTGAATGGTTAAATCAAATTTGGAAATTTAAATGAGCTTGCTTCTGTTAATATATTCCATAAATGTATGTTTCCATCTTGTGGGAGGTAATCAATCTATCATGTTGAAATAGGTAATAAAAATTACCCTTTGCTGTCAGGGAAAGTGTCAACAGTTTACAGGCCATTTTGCCCTGGGAGAAGGGTGAAAGGGAAAAGGGGCAAAAAAGATTGGAAGATGGGCTTAAAAACAAAACAGTTGCAATGATTTGAGGAAGAAAGTTAATTTACTATATTATGTATTGGAATGCAAGATAATATAATTGGAATTGAGGCTAATGAGAAAAATGAGAGAGAGTGTGTCCAAAAACTGAAGTTCTGAATGGCCTGAAGGCATGCTGAAAGCAGGACAGCTAGGGAGCACACTACTGCATTGACAAGCATTAAAAGAAAGGACGTGTCTTGTGACTTGCAAACACTTTTATCTTTTCCTCTGAGTGGAAAATGAAAACAGAACAGTAAAAGTCTTCTGGAAAAGTAATTGTTCTCCTCCGAGAACCAGGTACCCAGAAATATCCTCAATCCACAGAACTGGAGCGTTAACTCTTTAACTCCCAGTGCTCTACGTGATGTTGCTATGTGGAATGCCAATAACAAAAGTCATAAAATCATGACGGAGTTATTTCAGGCATGTCAGAGTTTCATGATTGGATACCCTGGTATTCAATCCTTAGAATTGTAGAATGGTTTGGGTTGGATAGGGCTTTTAAGATCCTCTAGTTCCAACCCCTCTGCTATAGGCAGTCACCTCCCTCTAGGCCAGGTTGCTCACAGCCTCATCCAGCCTGGCCTTGAATGTTTCCAGGCAGGGAGCATCCACAGCCTCTCTGGGCAACCTATTCCAGGGTCTCACCACCCTCACAATAAAGAATTTCTTCCTGATATCTAGTCTAAATCAACCATCTTCTAGTTTAAAACCACTTCCCCTCATCCTGTCACTGCATGCCCTTATAAAACATATTCATGAAACACTTTATGAACATAAAATTGGTTATTCTTATTGCTCTGTCACTTCCTGTAGAAGTCTCTTACAAAGGTTTTTATGCAGGGATTAGACCAAAGGACTTTCATATCCCCTTCCACCCATTCTCTCGGTCTGTTTCCAGCAGATGTCATTAATGCATGGCCAGAGAAAGAATGAAAGGGTGGTACAGGCATGTCTCTGAGCTCATCACCCTAGTTGGTGGCCCTCCTCTGGACCATCTACAACAGCTCCATGTCTTTGTACTGGGGGCCCTGAAACTGGATGCAGTACTCCAAGCAGGATCTCATGAGAGCAGAGTAGACAGGCAGAATCACCTCCATCGATCTGCTGATCACACTTCTCTTGATGCATCCAGGATACTACTGGCTGTCATTGCTGGCCTATGTTGAACCTTTCATCAACTTTCATCAGCTGAATCTACAGCTGAGTTAATGATAAACTGATACCTTTGAGTGCAGCAGACTGTGATGCTATCTCAGGTATGCCTCATCTTCAAAGTACCTAAATTTGCACCTGAGGGGCAATGTAAGATTTCTTCAGTGTAAGAGTTCACAGTTCCATGTGACATTAACTGTATTTTAGAACATCATGTCACTACAAAAATTGCTGCTGTAATGGTTACTGTGATGGTCCTGCACATTTCTTCCTTCAGTTTATAGGTACAAGATGAGTACCCTAATTATTGGACAACTCAGTTTGTACTGTAGTATATATATATACTACATATATACTGTATATACTTGTATTTATATGTACTATTTATTGTGCTATAAAACACTGCAGATCAAAATTCTCATGGAAGCCAGAGAAGAGCAAATAAAAGTAATCTGTAACCATCAACATAGATCTCAGTAGAGAATGGCAAGAGTCCTTGCATCTGCTCTTTTCTTATTGATTTTGGTCTGTGTCTTAATTTTTCATTCATACACCATGATATGTAGGATGAGCTTGGATAATATAGCTGGCCTCCTTAATTAGCTAACAACTGTGCATAAGTTTGAAAAGCATATTAGGAGCATTTTTCTTATAAATAGAAATCTAAAGTTTTCTACCACCCTGTTCGCACTGGCACTGTAGAGCATGTGGAGTTTATTTTTAATAACTGGATCAGTTCTGTGAATCAGTAATTCTGTGGAGAGCAACAAGGGAGCTGTATGCTGCATAATAATTCAGTACTGTTGTCAAAGGAAATGTTTAATTCAGCTGCTTTTTAAGACAGATCTATTTTTTTCTCCTTATGTTGTCTTTAATTAATGAAATTGGGTTATTGGAGTTAGGGGATTTCAGAGCTCATGTATATTTTTCCCATGGTCCTCTGTGGGCACGCCAACTTTGGAGAATGGGATTTTGTACATTTGTTTCCTCCTTTTGTAAGCTTGAGCTATCAGTAAAGCTTCACTTAACTGAAGGCAAAATATGTAGCTTTCTGTTCCAGAACTGAGCAACCCTTATTAAGGTATTTCTCTACGCAGAAGTGTAACTTTTACAGTTATATCAATTTACATGTCACTATTCTCTCAATTGACATAGTCCTTTAACAGAGAGAATGTTCTGTATGTTAGTCTACTTTTCAAACTATATTAACGTTTTATGTACAAAGATGTACATTCAGGCCACTATTGTTTGCCACAGAATTGAAGTGCTTAAGATTTCAGGTGTAAGCTAACATACCAAGGAAATGCTGCAGTTCACTATTCTTTGCCGTGTTAGTGTTTGCTAATCTTCAAAAGGTGACACCAGAATAAATATTATATTGTTTTCCCCTTTTGTTTTACCATAATTTTAGTGACTCTGATGTGTTGTAACAAATGTTATTCTTTCACATGAGGCTCAGCCAGTGCCAAAATGCGTACTTGGTTCCACAAAAGTGTCATTTGAGAGGTTTAGGTATGAAAAGAAGGTCTTTGATTTTAAAATTCATCCATTCCTTCTGCCAAGTGTTGGTTTCATTTTTCTCAGTTTTAAGGATGGCACCTGACTTAATTGTAGCTCTTACACAGGCCCAAGATAGTGATTTCTTGCCTACTTCTCAACAAGCACTAAAGATCTTGTAGGATGAAGGTGACAACAAGGACTGTCATCCCCTGTCAGCAGGCTTCAGTTATAGGACATAATGCATGTTTTCAGAAAGAAAGGAAAAATGATGCACATAAACAGTAATAGAGCAAGATCAAAAATTGAACAGCAACAACAGGTGATAGTAACATAATAATGAAGAGTAAACAAATTTCACGCTCCTTACAATAAGCTCGAGAATGCAAATAACCTCTTTTACCAGCAAAATGTATTTAAATATTATCACCATTATGCTTACATTTTTTTTTTTTGTGATGGCAATTTGCATAGTTTCTGAAATTTTTTCTTGGAATATTTTTAACAGGTTGATCAAATACTTGCTTTATTGTGTTCTGAACTCTTACTGGTGATCTGCTTTGGGTTTTTTTTTGCAGTATGCAAAGAAGAATAACAAGGGGACGAACAAAGATATTAGCTGTAAGTACGCAAGTTAAGGAGGTAAAAATAAAATAATAATAAATTCTGAGTAATACAGATTTATTACACAACTCTTAAATCAAAGTTTTTCCTTTCAGCAACAAATTAGAGAATTTCAGAATTCAACAAGGCAATTATCACAACAGACAACTGCAGTTTAGTTTAAGACACAGAGTACCTTACAGGGTTTAATCTTTAAGATCAAAGCTGAGGAGATAATCAATTCATATTGAACTCTTATTTTCTCAGTGTTTCCATAGTTCATAACAAGAAAGCAAGTCATATTTGTACATCACTCTGAGATCTATAATAATGAATCAGAAGCACTGCTACTGTTTCATGCAGTGATTGGTTCTAGGAGCTTCCAAGCTGCATGTTCAGCACTTCATCTTTTGGAGTTCCTTACATCTGTCCCCAGCCAGAAAAGGGAGCAATCTATTTATGCATTATAGGATCACAAATATTGCAAAATATTGTTTTAACTCAATTTAAGAAAAGGCTAAGGCCTTAAGATCTTTTTTTTTTTTT